TGGTGGCACTGACTTGGGAAATGGGCACAGTATCCACTGTGAGCCTGACACAGAAGCTGGCAGCAGTGGCAGACAACTGACTGCTATTCAATCTATAACAGTGAAAAAAGTTTTTTGTTTTAAATTCAAGCTATTGTGACACCAGATATAAGTGGTGGCACTGACTGGGGAAATGGGCACAGTATCCACTGTGAGCCTGACACAGAAGCTGGCAGCAGTGGCAGACAACTAACTGCAATTACATTACACAGAAAAAAAAAAAGCATACCCTATCCCTAACCTAGCTATGCATTTCCCTATCTAATCAACAGCAGCTACACTTTCCCTCCTCTCACTAAGCATGCAGCTTGAGAATGAATGTAAAATGGATGCCTTCCAGTAGGTGGGAGGGTCTGCTAGGGAGGCTGTGCTGCTAATTGGCTGGAATGTGTCTGCTGACCGTGAGGTACAGGGTCAAAGTTTACTCAATGATGACGAATAGGGGGCGGGTCGAACCGCGCATATGTTCGCCCGCCGTGGCGAACGCGAACATGCTATGTTCGCCAGGAACCGTTCGCCGGCGAACCGTTCGGTACATCACTAGTGGATGGATACCGTCAGACCCTGGAGCTTTGTTTATATTAACTTTCTTTAGTTGCTGCAGCACCTTGTCTTGAGTTAACCAATTACAATTACTCTGCAAGTTTTTAGTAGCAATCATTTGCACATCTATTGCCATGGGTTTTCCTTAATATATATGGATGAGAAATAGTTATTTAAAATTCCTGCCTTTTCCTGGTCTTCATTAACTAACACCCCCGTTTCAGTTTTTAGTGTACCTACTCCTTCATTTTGGTCTTTTTTAGAATTTATGTACTTAAAAAATGCTTTGGGGTTGGTTTTGCTCTCTTTAGCTATCATTATTTCATTTTGAAGTTTAGCAAGTCTAATTGCCTTTTTGCACGCATTATTTGCTTCCTTATATCTTTTATATAAGCTGTGTAATATGTTCATATAAATTGCACTATAAATAATTTACACATGACCAATTTTTCAGTGGCATCTATTGAGTATACAGCATTTATGGAGTTGTAACTTTGGTGATCTTTTCATCTCCTTTATATGTCCATTCATGTTGTATTATAAATAATTCATATATGGCCACTTTCTAGTGGTATATATTGAATATACAATACTGATGGAGGTTTATTATTGGTGATTTATCTATTTATTTCATTTATTTCCTTTATTTATTCTCTTTAGTTACAAATGAAATACATTAGTTTGTGTATGTGTACCCACCCACATGATTTGGATGGGCGGAGCTGTATGCAGATTCCTTTGGGATCATTCATTCTAGATCCCGCCCATTTTTTGACCCGCCGGCATAATGAATAGACCACGTGATAACTGGGACGTCGGGTCACGTGTGACGTCATGAGGCTCCTCCCCCACGTACACCATGTGGTCCGCAATGGCGCGGTCGTAACCATC